ATTAGGAAGAACAACTTTAAGAACACGTCCCAACAGCCTGGAAAACCCACAATAAACATCGAAGGATGAGTTGTTTAAAGTAGAATATGAGCAGATGAGCTCTTTTTCCCCATGCTAAACAGTGCTATCAGGGAATCGCGTAGCATAACTACATGCCAGTGCGGTTAGACTCTTAGCTGAGTCAGGAATCCTGAAAGAGAGAAGTAAATGACAGGTTCAAAAAGAGAAGTGCATGGTGTGGATTGTCCTTTTTCTTTAGAATGTTCTATTGCCGACCAGAACTTCAAAAAGCTAAATCCTTTGCAAGAGACAAAAACGCTTCAACAGGGAAGCGCAAAATCTTGCTGAATTTGACATTTTGGCTTCTCCCTCTGTCGCCAGGACTTCAAACGCTCTCTCCCTCTATACCTATCCCATTTTAATAAATCCGGAATTGATTCCTTCCTTCCAACGGGGATGGCAATCTGAACTACAATCCTAATTATATTGTCAAGACAGATTAATGTCCCCGGAGAGGTTAAAGGAGAAATCGTTATTTAACATCGGAGGTGCTGATTGGGTGACCTCTCTCTTTGGTCTCCCGCTTGAGATTTGACCATTTATCAAAAGAGAGAAAGGGGAGCCCATTTCGCCAGGCAAGGTCAGGAGTGCAGGGCTGGCCCATTTCAGCCAAAAGCAGCAGCGAGAGAATTCATGAGCTCGTCAGCTAAAACACTTTAGAAATCAGCCTCAGATAAAATCTACAAGCAATGCGTTCCGTGTCCGTAAATTAGCTAGACGTTACCCAATCCGGTTGGCCAAGATAAAAGAGATCCTCATCTCATGAGATAAAAACTGTTTAAGCATCAGCTCCAATGACAAGAGCGTGCATACAAAAGCAAAACGAAGCCGCATTAAACGATAAGGCAAAGTCACCCCAGAGAGAGACTTCACCACATCAAAAAGTAATTCTGGAGGTCAAACTACAGGATGCAGAGAACAGCAAGAAACCCAAGTGGAGAAAGGTTAGCCCTCTTCCCTTCTTGAAAGGCTGCACCGTATCCATCACTGAACGACAGTGCCCCACAGTCACGAGGTACAGTTACCAAAGAACAAGCCAGCCCAATGGAAACCCTCTCTGATCCCATTCAGGAAGACTGGAAAAAGACCTGGTTATGCTTAAGGAAGGGGACTGGGCAGAGTGAAAAAGCTTCGGTCCACAAGGGTACCATCACCTTGAAATGCACCATGCCTACCAGATTTGATTGGGTATACCTGGTGTCAGAAACTCAAGATCGCACTGGGATTTTGCTGGGTGTCCTGTCCAACCCACTGCCTTACAAGCCAACCTGCAAGGATTTTTGAATCCCTTCTGCTTCCCAGTGACATTAAGAAAGCTTGGGGTGGCCAAGAGCGGATTCGTGTGAAAGGGCTGTGAGCTGCATTCAGGTCTACTACTGAAATTTCTAGGCTCAAGATGCTTTGACTCTGAGAAGTCCATGGAGATGGATGAATCTGAATGTCTTTAGGGAAATTTCTGGCAATTTTGGCTGGCTACCTTTGACCAGAACGATATGACACGGAAGACCGAATTCAAGAACGCCTTCTAACAGCAGAGAAAGAGGCCTTTTAAGACACATTTTGCCTTTGTTACTACAATATACAGAAAAGCAGGAGAGATACTGAAAAGGCCACCTGGCCTTCTCATATCCCCAGGAGGGTTTGCTGTGGAACGTTTTGTTAACACACACAGGCTACTGAACTAATGCAGCTTGAACTCAAGGAATCCTAAAAGCAGTAAGAAGGGGACACAAGAACAGCATTGCCTCCCTCAAAGGCATCAAGCCATTCCGAAGGCTAGGATGAAATGGGAGCAATCAAAAACAATCAAAATTTGTGACCCAAACGAGCCGAGGGGTTAGTTACAACACAACAACAGCAGAAAGCAATACCGCCCACGTGTGTGTTTTTTTCCCCCCAGATGGTTGGCTGACTCTTCCGTCTCCAACACACGGCATCACTTTCTTGACAGAGGGTGCCTCGCTATTAAACTGAGATGAGATCCTGTGCTTTGGTCGAGAGGGAAAATTGATTAAAACATTCACTCCGGCTGCCTGCTGGATCCCCGGGGAATCTTCCTTTACTGTTCTCTCTCCGTGATGCTCAAAAAAACCGGACATGGCTGAGCTTTAACAGAATTTCTATTACCTTTGCCAGTTCTTGTTAGTCAGCCATGATCAGAGGGATAAAGGAAGAAGACGGTACAGGAAGAAAATGCCGAAGCAAACAAACTGGACTGCAGAACCAGAAATCCAGAGCTCACTTGAGGGTCACTTTCTAGAAACCATTTTCGTTTGCCGTGCGAGATCCGAGTGCCAAAGCAGGAACCTAAGCAAAGGCCGCCCTTCCCACCTCAAGACTCCCGGACAAGCCCAAGCTATTGTAAAAAAAGCCCCGAATGCCGACAAGGCTCTGTCTGTTTTCCAAAGGGCTTCTAGGAAACACAAATGTTTCCCTGGAAGAGTGAACTGCACAAACACAGCTAAGCCACTTGTGTTACCGGCTGTTAAAAGTTCCCAAAGGCTTGCTAATTAGTGTAACGGTCCTAAGCCGCATTCCTATGAGAACCACACTCTTCCTGGCTCAGACTGTAGCTGGTTAGGGTATAAAGGGAGGCAGGGAGAGAAGGCAAGCTTCCTTCTTTATGCTGTCCTGCTATGTGCTGGTTTCCCTAGTCCTGGACCCTGTTTTGTTTGAATCCTTTGTTGTTGTCATTTAGTCGTGGCCCTCCTGTCTTCCACGGCCTCCCAGAGTTGGGTCAAATTCAGGTTTGACCCAACTCTGGGTCAAACACAAATTTAGGGTATAAAGGGAGGCAGGGAGAGAAGGCAAGCTTCCTTCTTTATGCTGTCCTGCTATGTGCTGGTTTCCCTAGTCCTGGACCCTGTTTTGTTTGAATCCTTTGTTGTTGTCATTTAGTCGTGGCCCTCCTGTCTTCCACGGCCTCCCAGAGTTGGGTCAAATTCATGTTTGACCCATCTCTGGGTCAAACACAAATCTTCAATGACCCTGTCCAACCATCTTGTCCTCCATCGTCCCCTTCTCCTCTTGCCTCCATACTTTGCCAACATCAGGGGCTTTTCCAGGGAGTCTTCTGTTCTCATGAGATGGCCAAAGTCTTGGAGCCTCCACTTCAGGTTCCTACATTCTTGTAAAACTGAATGGAGAAGGCCAGGTAGCCTGAACCAGATAAAACTGAGGCTTCTCCAGATGGGGGTTGCAAAGCACATTGTGTTGACTTCCCTCTATATCACTTTCTCTTGATTGTTCTGTGATTCCACGGGCCCACGTTTTTTTAATCTGGTGCCCAGAGGATGCAAAGAGAAACATTCTTCTGCTCGCATCTCACGCCCATACTCTATCTCTTCCTCATCTACCCGTTTCTGCACCCTCTTCTCTGCCCTTTTCACATCCTCTCCCACTGCATTTACCAACCCTTTCCACCCACTCTTGTGTCCCAGGGCCACTCTACTGTTTCAAAAGCGATCTTTACAATAGGTCTTTATTTTCTGCCGGCACTTTCAGGCCTTTCGTGCCAATGCAACCGATTCTTGGCAGTCTACCAGCTTCAAGAAAGAGTTTAGTGCTAATGTCACTGAGTTTAATATTCAGCCGCACTAAACTCACTGCAAACTTTAAAAAAGAAATATCTATTATTATTATTTATTTTATAAAGCTTACAGACCACCTGACTTAGCGAAACCACAACTCGGGGCAGTTTACAAAATACAAATATGCCACATAATCAACCAAAAAAAAAGGGGGGGGGAGGGAACACATCTCAGTTAAATTAACCAAAATGAGACCATCAGCTGACACCAGCAACCAATACCAAAAAATTTAGAATACATATAATCCAGGGCAAAAAATGAAAATGATAAAACTTCAAACTGAAATAGAACAACAGGTCACTCAATTAATAACTAGAGATGGGCACGAACCATCAAACTGGTTTGTTTACCACCATCCCGGGGCATTTACCACCGCAAAAGGTGATCAGGACTTCAGCACATCCTGGCTTTCCTGCCCCACCTCCTCTGGGTGCTTCTTCTGAGTGTGCACCCACCAGAGGGGAAGGGGTACTGAACCGCAACACCTGTTAGGACGGTAAACGAACCACACCGAGCCAGCGGTTCGTGCCCATCTCTATGATCTCTATGAACAACAGATGTTGCCAAAGATGTTGACTGAACAGTTCGGTCTTCGATCATTTTCTCAAAGACTGTGGAGCAGGAGTCTGCCTTTCACACATTAGTATTCAGTGGTGGAGGGTGAGAGAGTTTTACTATCCCCACACCTCATGCGACTGGATGTCATGCACCACAATCTGGATGCATATCCGTGAAAGGCCCCAAAAGTCCTGATCAGGTTGATCACGCTACACAACACCGGTACAAAACAGCATGAAATGCATCAACACAAATCCCAAACCCCACCAAATCAGGCTGAAGAAGAAATAAACAACTCCAGCAAAAGTCATGGAATAAAATCAGCTACAATCAACAGATACAAAATGCCATCTCAATGAGCCCTCCAGTTATGCTTGCTTGTCGTTTTCTCTCGAGCTGTTTCCAAACTGTTCTCTGTTTCTCTGAACTGTAATAAATCTGCCTCCTTAGAAAATAACTGTGTGTGCTGGCTATTCTGTAAAGGCGTAGCGCTAAATCCAGCCCAGTGCCTTGCTGTCCTCTTGGCATATTTGTTATTTAATAAGAGTAGCAGCGGACACAGTTGCTCCTCGCCTCCCCTGGCTCACCCGGCATGCTGTAAAGGCTGAGAATACACTGACCCACGGCAGGAGGGAAGGCTGGCTTGGACTGTGGTTCTTCGGGACCTGTTGTGTGGCCAAACTCCCTTTGGTCTCTAGTGGCATTTCTGAAACTCAGGTTGAACTCCCCCCACTCCCCACTTCAGATATGCTCTTTCACAAAACTCAGATTCATCCTATTTAGATCACTTACCATTTTGTCCAGGAAGATCACCAAATCCTAAGAAAACAAAGAAAAATGTAAGAGCTCAAGTCTTGAAACCTGCTTTTCACAAATACCCCCCCACTCACACCCACACCCACACCCATTGGTTTTATAGCAGGTTGATACAGACTGTCAACACAACAGGAAACGAGCCAGGTCTACTTTACAAACACATCTCTTTCAATGTGATGATTGACAACAGGAGAGGTTATTTCTTTTACCTAGCTGTCATGACCGGTTTGGCTCATGGACGGGTAACAGGCCTATCAGGATCTCCAAGGAAGCTTTATACAGGTGGCACAGCCTTCAAACCAACGCAAGGCACAATCTGGGTCTCAACATGAGGGTCACTCTGGTGGTAACTCAGCAAAGGCATCCCATTAGCCATCATTCCGAACACAGTTCAAGAGGAGTGTCTTGAACAATGTTTCAAATGCTCTAGTTGGTATGACCAACCCCTCTAAGGACATCTTGCACGTAGAACTAGCATGGGTGAACTCTACAGACAAGGGGGTAAGCAGCATTTCCCCCACCTTCACAGCTTGTTATCAAAAGGGGTGCAAATAGCCACCTCTCGGGGTCTGCTGTGTTTCAACACAGCGAAAGCGCATGCCGCTTCTTCAGTTTCCATGTATTCCCAGGTGAGCTCCCACTGTGCATGTCTACGCAGGATCAATGCCACTGAGTGCACGCCAGGGGTAGTCAACAAGACTGGTATCCATTCTCAAAAGCCACAACCTACCTTGCATATTTCTTCCTGGGAATATTCTTTTATATCTGCAACAACAAAATGAATGGTTAAAGCCATTTTTAGCGCCCTCAAGTTCATCGTTCAAAGCTTCAAAGCTGCTAAGGGCTTCCACGCGCATGTCGTACACCCTCCAGTCTCTGCTCCAGGGAAACACCTCAGCGGGCTTTATTTCCTTGGGTGTTGTGGAGGCGCCAAATGGCTGTGTGCCTCCATTCCCAGGCCAAAATAAAAGAACCTTGTGTTTCAATACAGGGCCATGGGGTTGAGCAAGGAACGCTAAGTGGTGGGCAACCCAATGTTTAATGGGATCGGGAAGAGATGGTCCAGCCCGCAGAAGCAGAGGTGGAACCCCTAACCTCCTGACTACAGCCTGCGGCCCCCATTTTGAAACTTTTAACCAAGGAACCTGGCCTACACATCCATCGGCCCGTGGTTTATTGGGACTTTTCATGCTTTTTTTTCTGTACCACCCACACCCCTGAAAGGTGCTCAGCCGGATGAAGATCTGTAAAAAATTCAAAGGGAGATTCTTGTTTCTGATATTTTAGTGATGCAATTTAAGTTTTCATGCACCCTTGCCATTGGATTGTGTACAAGGACTGTGTGTTGTGTTTTTTTTAGGGGGGGTTCCTTTTTAAAATATTTTTGAGAAAGAACGGGGAACAAAGCAAAGTGTGCTGCTTCTATGCTTCTACTGTATGCTTCAAGCACTCTCTGGGTGGCTTACAATTTAATGATGCAGACGACACATTGCTCTCCCCCCCCCTTGAATTCAGAGGGATGGGAGGCTGAGACAACCTCGAGCTGGCTTGAACCCAGGTTGGGAGCACAGTTTTGGCTGCAGTACAGCAGTTGAACCACGGTGCCACAAGGAGACGTGGCATTTCTTGGAAAAAGTTGGAAGAACGTATGAGATGGATAGCACGATTCAAGGGGTAGAGGATTGGACCGAAGTCATGATTATGGTCAAGTAAGAAAGGGGGGGGGAAGAGGGATCTTTTGCAGGGAAAAAAGAATCCAGTCCAGTTACTAATAGGCAGAAGCCCAGGTGAAGAGAAGCAAGGAGCTGCTCTTTCAGGGAGGGCTTGAAACCGCTGGAAGGCAGCTATCCTGCTGCTGCTGCTGACTAGCCATGCTTCCAGCCTGCACTTTGGGAAGCGCACCAGAAGTGAGAGCTGAGCTCATGAGAAATCCAATCCCTGACAGCTAAAGGATCTAGACAAGCAGGACTGGGAAAGACCATTTCTCTCAACTTCTGGAGAAATTACTTTTCTGGATCATGAGACCCAGAATTCCCCAGCTTGGTTGAGAATTGCAGTCCAAAAAATCAAGTTTAACAAGCTTTGGTTTGTCACCTACAGCTGTTGGAGGGGGCTGCTTTCCGTCAAGTTGATGAACAAGAGGATAATGACATGAAGGCAATTTACATTCATGTTGTGTGTTTTTTGAAAATATGAACAGCTGAGATGGTCTAAAGAACAGCAGGATGGAGAATTTAATCTCCCCCCCCCAAAAAAAAACCCACCCTTCTGATGCAACTCATAAAATGTCTACTTTAGCTTGTGGTTCTCCCAAGCAGAAGGAACAAGGGGGCTAATGTTATACCAGACAGCTTCAGCTCTCTGAAATATCAGAGGCGATTTCTTTGCCTCCCCACCCCCCCATTATTACTGTACTATATTTTTACTGTTTCATCTTAAGATACCGTGAGAGCAGCAGAATTGGGAGAGACCTAAAGGGTGAAAACACACACACATACACACGTTTGTCTTCTAGAGCCACAGATGACCTGTGTTCTCCATCTTTCACATGACAATCATTTCTCCTGTTTGAAAATGCTGACTGGTCACTTCCCAAAGCTAAGCGTACCTAATTCTGTCAACTGGCTCTTCACAGTGCTTGGTTTCGAGATCTTTTATATCTTAGATACACTCCTTTTATATCTTAGGTAAAGGTTCCCCTTGACCTTGAGTCCAGTTGTGTCCGACTCTAGGGCGCAGTGCTCATCTTCGTCTCCAAGCCGTAGAGCCAGCATTTTGTCTGAAGACAGTTTCTGTGGTCACGTGGCCAGCACAACTAGACACAGAACGCCGTGACCTTCCCTCCAAAGTGGTACCTCTTTATCTACTCGCATTTTTACATGCTTTCGAACAGCTAGGTTGGCAGGAGCTGGGACAAGCTCCCTCCGCCGCGTGGATTCGATCTTACGACGGTGGGTCTTCTGACCTTGCAGCACAGAGGCTTCTGTGGTTTAACCCACAGTGCTACCACATCCCTCTTATCTTAGATACACGCAATATTCTAGGGGATGTCTGATGAAAGCAGAATACAATGGTCCCATGACTTCTTTTGACCTGGACAATGGAAGTCTTATTGATAAATTGTGAGCCGCCCAGAGTAGACTATGTCTAGATGGGCGGCATATAAATGCAATAAATAAATAAATAAATAAATAAATAAATAAATAAATAAATAAATAAATAAATAAATAAATAAATAAATAAAT